AAGTCTGTCCAATCATATACCCTTTCTATAATACATAAAAGCAGCATCTGACCCGCCAAAAGACACACTTCATTCTGCATTTTTCCTGATGTTTTCCTGGTTGGTACAATATATACCCGACTGAGTGCTGTTTGCCTATTTGAGTTGGAGCTTTATGAATAAGTAATCTTTATATATATAGCGCCTGTCACAGACCAGAGTCACAAAGCGCTTCATAATTATTACTCTTCTGTGGGTATTTTGTCTCTCACTCCACACAGAAGGCACATGCCAGACCTATTGTACATGTTTTTAGTGGTAGGGGAAACCGGAGCACCTGGAGGAAACCTACACAGACACAGGAAGAACATGTAAACTCCACACAGAAAGACCTGGAGGTGGAATCGAACCCAGGACCTTCTTGTTGTGAAGAACTATGATGCATATACACAACATATAATGTGTATGTGACAATAATATTCAACTAAACAACAACAATTTTAAATTTTTGTAAATATCTGTGCTGGTATTTTTCTAAATTTAAATATGATTTGTAATTTGACATTTATAGAAGAGATGTAACTTAAAAAAAAAAAAAATACAAACTGTCTCTTTTAACATTAATAGAAAAAATAGGGAAAAATATATATGAAAGATAAGTGTAATTACATCATGCACCATTACTTTGTGGCTGTTAATGCTAATGCTAATACTAATGCTAAGTACTAATGCTACACCTGTCCATGTTGAGGGTCATCACATCAAAAGCGACTTAAGGGTACTCCCATCTCACCTCGTTAGCCCGCTAATGTCACGTACAGTGTTATGGAGTGGGGTTCGAGCCAGCGCGTGTGTATAGCATCCTCCGTAATGGTGTTTTAATGTGGTTCAATAGCACGCACGCTAAACTCCCAAAATGCACCGGGCTCCCATCCCCCACACAGTCCACCCCGATCAAAGCCTGAATGTGTCACTTAAGGTTCACCAGATAAGATTTTTCAATGTCGTATTTCAAGCAGAGAAGGGGAGAGAGGGAGATGGAGGAGGGGGGAAATGGGGGAAAAAAAATAAACTTGTTTGAAATCTGTGTAAGATAAGAAAAATAAAATATACCTTTTTTTCGTCCCACAGTGGAAAATTTCAGTGACTATTTAAACCACCACATGCTGCTGACGTGTAAGATTAACAGTTTTGAGAGCAAGGATTTTTTTTTAGATGGGTTTGATTACAAAAATACATTTGTGGATAAAGATTGAGAGATTTTATTAGTCCCACAGAGGTAAAATTTCATTCACAACACAAGATAAATAGACAACAAATCTATACTATATAACATTAAATAGAATCTCTAACTTTAGCATATACAATCAGCAAGTATTAGCTTTAGCATACAGGGGTGGGAGTATATAAGTTTTACTTCTTCTCACTCCTTTTTCGAGTTGATACTTAGTTATTTAAAATAAATGTGTATTGTAAATCTCAGTTGTGTATATTGAACTCGAAATAAAAACATTTCATTCAAGTGTGTTGAATGAAATGTTAAGTGTGTTATGTTGTTATGTAGAGTAATGGCTGGTACACCTTGCCTATAGGGACTATGGGTGGAAACTTTCAGTATTGAAGATAATTCTGGCACATAAACAGTACCACTTATTAATAAACACAATCTCTACTGAATTAAAGCTGTGGTACCCAACTTATTTGTTTCCATAATTCATAATTGTTGTTTTACCCCTCAACAAAATGCTGTCTTCATTTTGTGTGTACTTAAATATGGCACTGAGAACCACTATTTGACGCTTGGGGAGTGAAGGTGGTCATTTGTTTTCTGAGTTGACAAATTCCCCCGCCCACCCCTTCAGTCTAAACGCTCTGTTTTCAAAATTCTTAAGCCAGACTTTGACGTTGGAAAGCATTCTTAACAGGTTCAAATGCAGAATGTAGTTCACCACATATAACAAGAATTGGGGCTGTTTCTCAACACATAATCGCTTAGGAATGTATATGTCTTTGAAATGAACCGCTGAACTGCAACTCAAAATTATTCACTCATAATCCATGTAAGACAATCATTCCCATTCTAAATCTTGAAATGCCAAAATAAAATCTCTAATTCATTATCTAAAGCAGTGGTTCCCAAAGTGGGGGTCCCGACCCCCCGGGGGGTCGCGGGAACCCCTGGGGGGGTCGCAAGATGATTTCCACACAAAAAAAAAAGATTTGTTTTGCTCAAAAAAGCAAATATAAAGCCCTTAAATATTTATTTAGCATTTGATTTGTTTCAAAAGGACTACTTGTTAAATTGTGTGGAGACTATAATATATTTTAATAACGTTAGTAATTTTGTCCCAGTCATTGCAGCGTCAATCAAAATCATCACGTAACAGCTCACATCATGCGCAGCGACAAAGCGTGTCCTGCTGTTGTTTGCTAAAACTAAAGGTGTTTGGAGGCTACAAATAAATAATACCTTCTTTAAAATGAAACGTGGTTAATATCCACAACAGAAAAACCCGGAGGGGGAGAAAAGTCACTTGTATGTTGTTGAGGGAGAGAGGGCAAAGGAGGGAGAGAGGGGCAGCGGTAGAACAGCGCGTTAAAGAGGCCCGGCTTTTCGGAGTCAAAGGTAAAGAGGTCCGCACATTAAAAGCGGGTGGCCGGTTTATGCCTTTACTGACAGTAACTTTGGAAAGAGAAGCCGCGGGGATGAACCGCATAAAGTAACAGCAGAAAGCGGCCGCCCGCTTTTAATGTGCGGACCTCTTTACCGCTGACTCCGGAAAGCCGGCCCACTTTACCGCGGTAGGAGAACAGTGAGGGCGAGCCGCAAGAAATGCGCTCCACTTCTGCTGAGGAGGGAGCCCACCAAGCCCATCACTGTCACTACATGAGTAAAAATATGCAAGCCTCCTTTTTTGGGCTGGACAGTGCAGCTCGGTAGTGGCGTGAGTCTCTAGAAAGCGTTACTCCGTATCAAGGAAATACATGCCCATTTCATGTGACGAAAGGGCTGTTGGGTGGGTGGGTGGGGGGGGGGGTCGCGGGTTAGCAGGGCATTTATGATGGGGGTCGCGGGCTAAAAACTTTGGGAACCCCTGATCTAAAGAGGCAGTATGTATTGTAGAAATCTGGCCAAAAGTGGTACTGCAACCTCTTCCACTCTCCCTGACTCAGGTTGCCAGATATGCAGACGAATCCAGCTGGGACCATAATAACTGAATAGACAAGAGTTTTGTCAACAACAAATCTATAACAAACACCTTTTTCATAACGACAGAAATCCTTGTTTTATTCCTTGTTTTGTTGTTAATGATTTTGAGAATCATAACAAGTATTTAATTCTGCAGCCACATGGTACTTTACCAGTGAGATTAGCTCGACACGGTGAGTTCTGGCAATCTGGATCACAAACTTTCTGATTGGTGAAACAGTGGAGGGCGTGACATTGAAATGAAAACAACAAGAAGATTTAGGGGCTGTGAAACTAAATATCCAGCCAAAATATCCAAATATCTTGGCTGAACTACTGTTATCAGTTAAAGAAGTATTTGACTATGGTTTATTAATGATTTTTGACGAATTATTGCCCTTTAATGATGACTTGAAAGTCTTACATATTGCTACTTTAAAATTGTAAACAAAAAGTGCATCATAGTTGTTCTTTAATCCACGTAGACAAAATCCTTTTGAATTTAGTGTAACCTGATTGAATATTTACGTTATTTTGTCCTAATTGTTGCACTCACCATACCTACAACTTTTGATTGAACTGGGATTTGGATAAGATCAGGGATAAATCAGGGATAAATCAGACTCAATCTGGAACAACTGGATTACTTAACTCTAGTTTGAGCAACACTGTAAAGCCCATTTCTTGTCTTAAACCCAAACAGAGTCTGAAGCTGTAGTAGAGACTCTTCAGACAGACTCGCAGAGCCGCAGGCCGCTCACCCATTATCCCGACAAGTTTAAAGATGTCATTACTCAAATCCGCTTTTTCTTAGTTGTTATTTCCATAAATTACTGGCAGAGAAAAGGCGACGATTTAATCTGGAATTAGAGCGACGGAGTTGAAATAGCGGTGCCCTGTAGAGCTTTTGGTGAATAGGCTTAGGCCTGATAAGGAATTGTACAATTAGATTTGGGACGGGCTGAGGGAGAGGACTGGGACACGCTGGCTTACTGCTGTCTGTCAGAACCAATGTGTCTATTTCATACACGACACACTCAAATATTGCCTTTGTTTTCAGTTTTATATACAACCGTAATGAAGACAGATTTTAATTTTCAATAGGCTAATGAAACCTACTTAGATTATTGCTTGTTTATTGTTCAGATAGGAAGATTGCACCTATGAATTTGACCTACTCTTCATTGCCTCTAGGGGCTCTGAGGCAATGACCTCTGAAGCTGTGCAGGGCCTGACCTGGTTAATAATGTGATGGGAGACTGCTGGGAACACCAGGTGCCAAAGAGGGGCAGCTGTAAAGTGCCAAACTGTACCCTCATTGCCTAGAATGAATCTGGTGTGTGTGTGAATGGTTGATGGTGGTCAGAGGGGTTGTTGGCATTTACTGGTTGCCTCGCATCTGTCAGTGTGCCCCAGGACAGCTGTGGCTACAGTGGTAGTTTATCACCACTGAAAGAATAGTTTTGAGTGTCCAAAAAGCGTTATATATAAAACCAATGCATTATTATTACTATGGTCTCTCCAAACTCCCCTCCCAGTCCTTCTCTACGGCCTCTCCAAAATCCTTCCCGGCCTGCTCTATGATCTCTCTAAACCCCTCAAAGTCCTCCCTGTCCTGCTCCATGGTCTCTCCAAACTCTCCTCCCAGTCTTGCTCTATGGTCTCGTCAACTCCTCCCAGTCCTGCTCCATGGTCTGTCCAAACTCTCCCAGTCCTGCTCTATGGTATGTCCAAACTCCTCCCAGTCCTGCTCTATGCTCTCTCTAAACTCCTCAAACTCCTCCCAGTCCCGCTCCATGGTCTATCCAGAATCTCTTTCCAGTCTTGCTCTATGTTCTGTCCAAACTCATCCCAGTCCTGCTCCATGGTCTCTCCTTACTCCTACAAGTCCAGCTCCATTGTCTCTCCAAACTCCTCCCAGTCCTGCTCCATGGTCTGTCTAGAATCTTCTTCCATTCTTGCTTCATGGTCTCTCCAAACTCCTCCTAGTCCTGCGCCACGGTCCCAATCTTACATAAATCCAACATATCTTCCATTACTCGTTCTTGTTTTTCGCACCTGCCATCAGTTCGACCAATGCAACATTTCTAACACAGACATTTTTTTCTCCCATTTTCTGCCCTTTGTTTTGAAGTCGCATCGTGTCTGTCGCCTCGGCTCGCGTGTCGGAACACTTTCTCTCCTGTGGATCTTAATCCCTGCTGGAGAGGCATTGCTTGAGCAGGACAAAAGCATGATCGCGTGCCTGCCCTTTGTTTTAGTGTCTTTTTTTGTTTTTTTTTCAGGCCGGGCTCACACCTCCTACGTACATCAGGGCTGACATCCAGGGGTGTGATCGTACAGACACCACCAGACACCAGATTTTGACAGCGGGGTTCGGAAGGGTATTATGTTGATAAGAGAGGGGGAAAGCAAACATGTGAGGTGGTTTTCTCAGTCATTGAAGTTTGGAGGTTAAATATCACAAGGTTTATGTAATTATAGATTGCAATTTTGATAAATGTGAACTTGGTATTTTTCCAGTGTCCTTAACCCTTTTTTATTTCCAGAAACAGACAAGAAAAATTAAATGGCTGCTGAAGATTTTCTTCTTCTGAAAATGTAATCTCAAAATTACGTCTTGATTAAAGTAAACCATGTCCAGCTCAAGTCTGAAGTGATGGAAGTGCCACATAAATAAGTGCATGGACTGATTTATTTTATCACATTTTATTATTTTCCTAAGCTGATATTAATATTGATAAATAATAAAAAGTCCAGGATCAACGTTTCATTGGGTTAGGTGGAGTAGGGGGGTAGGGTTAGGGGGTCAGAGGTTATGGTTAGGATTAGGCTGAAGATTAGGGTAATGGTTAGAGGCCACATTGAGCTCAGATAAAATCAGTATATGATAAATTATGAAAAAAATTATCTAAACTAATCACAGACCGCAGACATACAGTAGAACTCACTTTTTAATATCCAAGATGGCGGCCCCCACTTGAAGTGATCAATAGTTATTCAAAGAAATGATAAGAGTTTGGTAACTCTCTTTTCTTGTAGAGCGCATGTCTGCGCCACTTCCTATTTTCTCTGATCAAATCTGTCCAAACATAGCTCATGAAATGGGCATTTTGTGGGAGAGATCCAGACCATCGAGTATTTGGAAAAAGACATTTTGTGGTTCTGGCTGCTCGAGCTCTTGCTTCAGATCAACAGTTTTAAAATGTACTGAATATAGAACGACCTACAAGTGTCTTAGGTTTTACTGAAAAGCAGAGAGAAGCACGTAAGGTCTTCTTTATATAATGCAAAGCTGCACATTTGGTTTTGTTTTTTAGTTTTATAATAAAGTGTTTAATCCATTAAACATTGAACATAAATTACAATTTATTTTTGTCATATATAATACAGTGTTTCTCAAACGGGTTCATGCACCATTGATGACACATCACCACCTTCACTCAAGTTAAATTACTCTCTAAATTTAGGCATTTTTAGATGAATCCTCATTTATAATTAAGACCCTCAAACATTTAGTTCTTGTATAAAGCATTACATCATAACTATATAACGGTTCCTTTAAAACAATTAACTTCAATCAGTAGTTTTCACATGCATATTTGGCCTCTGTCACAAAATGTTACTTTGATTCTTTCTCATGGAACAAACACAATGTCTTACGTTAAACAATAAATTCTTTGCACCTCAAAATGTTCCACACAACTTAATATACTCCAGAATGGCAAACAAATACATTGCCAAAATGCATTTATTCTCACCTCTATCCTCCTGACCTAGCCCTAGCTTTCGCGGAACTCGGATCGTTGAATACGGCGATGAAAATGGCGTCGCCCCAATCCAGGTCAGTCCATCAATCAGCCCACACTTACTCAGACGGAGGACAGCGCGGCGACAGCGGCCTGAGTGCTTTCGGATTGAGATGGAAGAGCGAATGCGACGCACGCAGCCCCCCCTCCCATCCCCACCACCCCCCCGACTCCAAGGCTTCAGACGAAACCTTGACAAGAAAGGCTCCCGTCCTGGCCCGGCTTGAAAGAATGGGATTAGCAGAAGTGGGATTTGGAGTGTGGGCATGTTTTTATCAGGCATGGTCAAAGTTCCATAAGGCGCTCGGGATTTTTCTTATCGTCCAAGCGCCGTTCTCGGAAGCAGGTGCGGGTGTCTGTATTATCTCGAATGTAAGGGCATCGGGCCGAGCTGTCGTCGAGGATGTTGGCGGTTTTGCAGAATCGGCTTTTACCGGTGTTGATGCCTGTGGGTGAAATACAACTGGAGATCGATTCCACTGCAAAAAAGTAGTCTTGATTGAAATGAGAAATAATCTGGAAATGGTCAAAAACATATGTGCACTTTTTGTTCGATAATTCTAAACTAATCTGTCCTTAATGTATGAAAACGATGATTTGAAGAGGTTGCATTTCTTCATTAGACCACTCTAAACTGGGACCAAGACGAGCCTCAACCATGCGAGTGGTATCTTTTTCTTTCTCCAGTGAAGTCCAGGCAATTTTCCCGATTTTGGGCCCAAAAATGAATAGATTGTAATCGTATTTTTTTCACCATGAGAGATCTCTAAAGGGTGTCCACAACAAGAACAAACTAAAAGATCATAGAAATCCTAGTTGAATTTATGGTGTTATTAGGGATAACACCATAAAAGGCTTTTTTTTCTTTTTTTTACTACTATCACAAAGAAAATGTAGTTTCATTGGATCTTCAAACTAACTTACACAAATTATGCGTTGCAATGCGTTTAGTGATCATTTTGTATACATAATATTGAAAACACAAAGTTCACTAGTTATTGACGAGACTATTTAGGGGTTCAAGTTTGGGAATAGTTAATGACAACAAAAATCCACACTTTTGATACACATGGGATTGATGGGTATATTTTTGTAAATATATTCGTAACTTTCTAGGCATCAAAATAACTCGTATCTCTGAGGACACAAGCCGGTGAAAACATTACCTTGTGCAACACTGAACTGACATTTGACCAGTGCTTCCCAAAATGTGACTCTAGGGCTTCAAGAACGACCAAATTATTATTGACAACTAAAATCCTAAAACAGGTGAAACTAAGCTGCAAAAAGGGATGAAAAATTAGTACAAATTAAGTAAGATTGCCAATATTTTCTAATTAGAACACATTTTGACTGTCTTAAAACAAGATTTGCCAATAGGCCAAGCAACATTATCTTGTTTAAAGATACAAGCAATGTCTCTCTTGGAATAAGAAAACAGTTCTTGAAATAACATTAAATGACCAAATACCAAATAAAAACCAAATAAAAACACTCAGTTCAAGCCATTATTACCTTATATTTGATCATTTTTTGCAGTCTAAAACAAGTGAAATCATTCAAAAGTAAAATTATTCCTATGTATAGTAGACTTATTGCAGTTTCACCTGTGTGTATGTATTTTGGTTTCAATGAAAAACATCAAGAAGTCTTTGAAATAAAATGCCAAAGGTTTGTGTGGGTGCTCAAGACTTTTCTTTCTTTCCCCAATTGATATGTTGGACGAGTCTTCAGGAACAGCTGGATTAGACCGATAAAACAGATAAACGTGAACTATCTTCCCAGACTTTGAGACAGTTTCCTCCCAGCGCACATCATTACAGCCCGACACCGCGAGCCAGTCGTTTAACTTCCGCGACGCCTTCAACCTGCCACCAACAATGGAAGTCAATCAATTTCATCAGGTGCAGGTGGATCGGATAGCCGGCCTCTCCAAAGTCATCCTCCCAGGGCCAATTAGCCAGCCGCGAATCCATGCAAGCGGCAACTAACAGCCTCTTTGCAAATTAAGTGCCTTCATTAAATCCAAAAACAACCTTCTTCGAGTTTTAAAACGGGCATTAAGGATTTGTAGAAGTGGAAAAAGCGTGTTTTAATGAGCTTGTTAATACTTAGCAAGAATACAAAAGGCCGAGATGACGGAAGGTGGAGGGGAGACGAGACGATTGCGCAAGATTTTCCGAGAAAGAGAGAAAGAAAGTGAGGTAATTTTTTGCAGATTTGCATCAAGCAACGAGGGTATGTGTGTTGGAAATGTTAAATTGGGTTTTTAGGCCAAGATTCAGGAGATTTTTGGCTGTTAAGTAAGAAGTAAGGGATAACAATTGCGCCGTTGTTGTTGCTGTTGTTGGGTCGATAGCAAAACATTCTTGGGCAAATGTTTGTTTCTGAGTATTTTATAACTCTGCTGCATTCATCAAAATCAATTAATTTGCAGGGGAATCATTTTAACTGCGTCGCAAGAATAACAAATTTGATTAACTGATGAAATATGTAGAAACTTTGCTTTGGTTTTGAATCATAAGCAATTGTAGGCTGCTGAAATTTACGACTTTGTATTTTTAGTAGAAGACTTGATCAGAAGTGGAAAATTCCCATTGGATCCAAATTTTGTTTCATGGGAATAACTGAAATTTAGTGAAAGGGATCTTTAATATTTGTTATGTTTTTTTTAAATTAATATCAGTCAACCGATCTTTAAAACTGCAATCAGCTCCCAATGTGTCGTATAGTGACTGAAAGGAATCTTCAATTACAATGGCTATAATTCTTTCAATTAGGATAAAGGTTGTTGAACTGAGAGCATGAAAAGTACTGAAGTCCGAGGACCAGCTCCAGCTCGTGGTGCCAAAGACCAGATTTCAAACCCGTGGGGACAGGGTCTTCTCTGTGGCTTGACCAAAACAGCTAGTACATAAGTAAGTTCTGATTCTGATTCCGAGATGGGAGTGTTTTTAGTGGTAGGGGAAACCGGAGCACCCAGAGGCAACCTACGCAGACACAGGGAGAACATGCAAACTCCACTCAGAAAGACCGTGTTACGACCGGGATTTGAACCCTTCCTCATGTTTTAAGTCTTGTTTTAAGAATCATTATTGCTCTCTGGCTTTTAACACTGTGAGTTGTGTGGTCCTCTGTTTTATCTGTTTAATTAATGTTATTGTTTTTCGTTTTAATTTTACTTTTTAACTTGGATGATTAATACCACTCAATACAAATGTGTGTTATTGAGTTTATTAAAGTTGCTGCGATTTTTTAAAAATTTGTACGTAACATTTTACTTATTCTATTATTTTAAACACATACAAATGGCAAACCTGTAAAGTTAAATGTGTTACTTTTATCCGTGCAGCACTTTGGAAACTTTGATAACATGTACTAGTGGATTGGACTGGAATGGAAGAAAAGAAAATGTATATTTAATTTTATTTGTAGTTGCTAGTTGTTTGTGGAGGCAACAATATTAAATTATTTGGAACAACTTCAAAACTGATGTACAAGACTTATCATAGAGGGACAGCCTTCAAAATGTAGATGTGAGGATGTATGTATAATTTATCTGTCAAATTTCACATTTCTTGAAGACGTGCAAACCATGTTTTAAAATTCAAAAGGTGGCTTTTCCAGTCTTCTGATTGGACGTTGCTGGGGTCTTACCTGTGTGGGTCCGTTGGTGCGCCTTTAGGTGGGAGCTCTTGGTGTAGACCTTACGGCAGCCGTTGAACTGGCAGCGGTGAATCCGTTTCTTGTTCTCCGGGATATCGCCCACGCCGATCAAGCAGGCCGCGCCGTCGTCCTCGTCCGATAGCCTCACCGGGAGCGCCTGGGCGGCCACTAACCGCGCTGCGCTCAAGCCCACCTTCCTGGCCACCAATTTTAACGTCAACGTGCCGTCCGCGGAAGCCGTCAACGTCTGGCTGGGTTTGATGAGATGCCGGCCGAGTTCTGGCGACGACGGAGGGGTCAGAGAAGTCACGGCGCTGAGCTGGGCTTGGTGGACGCCTTCGAGACCTTCACCTGTGGATGGACGAGAGGGAGAAGAATGGTTTTTAAATAGTGAACGGAGGATTTGCACTGGATATTCAGAGTTTTAGACCTTGTTATGGTTTCTCGATAGTTGTCAACAAGAACGATGTCGGGACCTACAAATTAATATTCTCATTATCTAATTGAATCTATTATAATCTAATAATCTATTATATTTGTGAATCATTTGTGAATATATATATACTGTATATTTTCAAAAATTATGATTCTATGAGCTTTTACATCAAAATAAGAAATACGTAAATAAACTTTTATTTGTAAATTAAAGCTGCACTAACTGACTTTATTTTTGTATTCCTTACAAAAATGCTATCCATGCAGTCCATTTATCCATTCTGGGTCAGGGGGGTGGCAATCAGAGATGCCACCCAAGTATCATAGCACCAGCCCCTCACTGACCCTCTGCAGGTGGTGAGTCCACAGGAGGACGGCTGCTCTCTGAGTGTGAGCATAGCCTTGATCTTTCAGTGGGGGCTTTTGGGCAAAGTGGGGTTAAGTGTCTTGCCCAAGGACACAACGACAGCAGTCATCAGCGGGAGAAGGTGTAGAGGTGGGAAATGAACCCACGACCTTCAGGCCTGAAGGCCAATGCTCTACCAACTGAGCTACTGTCGCCCCAACTTTTATTTGTAAATTAAGTAAATGTGAACATAAAAAAAAAAACTCCCAACATAATCTGGAAAGAAAAAGGTAGAAAATAACATTGAAATGAGTAAATTTAAGTAACTATTTACAGAAAATCAGCAGGTTTTTTACATATTATTGTTGTACTGTTTTAATTAAATTACCTCAGCTCAATTAAACGATTAATTTTTATAGTGGCATGGGAATTTGCACCTGAAAAATAATGCAAGTGCAAGTAAATCTTCCTGTATATTTGATGTGGATATATTTGATTAATTGATTATATTAATTGATAAAATACTCAATTTCTAAAAGAACCAAGAGCTGCAGCCTTCTACTGTGTTGGTTACAATTCAAGATTTGTATTCAACGTAAAACTCACACAAAATGCAGGATTTTGTCGTGCAAGTTTGAAAGATTATGTTGTTTGGCAGCCGGTATAAAAATCTATACAAAAAACAATTGAGGGACTATCCATTTTTCAATATGTTGCCCACCTCCACGTCACCTCAGTGTCATTTGTTAAATCCAGTTGTCACTCACTCGGAGCATTACAGCGGCCGATCAATACGTGAAGAATGTGTGTTTGAGCACAATGCTACCTTCAAACAAATATCTATACGGTCAAATGTTTCATAGAATATATATATATATGTGTGTGTGTGTGTAAGCACTGATATAGAGGCAGTGCTTTGTCAGTCCTTTTCACAGATCGTAAACTTGAAGTGAATCTACAGGGCAGTAACTAATGCATGTATTATTTTTTTCATTATATTTCCGTCTGCTGTTAAACATCTCTTGGTTTATGTTTTAAGGTCGGTATATTCTAGTTAAGAATCATGATTACTAGAACTGGATGAGTCGATTCAAGGACAAATCTTGGCAGCACTCAAATGAGGTTCAAAAGTGCTTTCTCTTCATCATAAAAACAATCCTGAACCAAAAACATTGAGGAGAAATCACTCACAGTTCAAAATATGCAAAAATCTACCACATCAGTAGAGCTCTGAAGCTGTGCAGGGAAGGGCCTGGTTAGTACTGTGATGGGAGACCTCTGGGACAACACCAGGTGCCACAGTGGGGCAGCTGCGGCTGAAAAGTGCCAAGTTGTCGTTGTGTCCTTAGGCAAGACATTTCACCCGCGTTGCCTAGAATGAGTTGGGTGTGTGTGTGAATGGTTGGTGGTGGTTGGAGGGGCTGATGGCACACACTGGTTGCCTAGCTTCAGTCAGTGTGCCCCAGGGCAGCTGTGGCTATGATAGTGGGTTATTGCCACTGTGTATGGAGTGAAAGAACATGTGAAGCGTTTTTACAGTGTTCAGAAAAAGCGCAATATAAAAACCCATGCATTAATGATAAAAGTAACTGGCTTTTTGAGTGAAAGGTTTTCAAATTGAGTATAAAAGTATTCAACTCTTGATTCTTTTTTCACCAGGGTCAGTCGTACCTTCAGCATTCTCCGTCCTGTGGTGCTTGGGTTTCAGGTAGTCTCTTTTGGCGCTGGAGAGCTTCCGATTGGTGCAGAGGAGGACCGGAGGCGGGCTGGGAGGTTCTGGGAGGTTGGGGAGGTCAGGTACGAGGTCCGATAGATCTTCTTCGCCACTGTCCTCCTTCATGTACGCCGGCGTGAGGAGGCCGTCCAAGTCCTGGTCGAAGAGCTCGGACAGGCGTTTGGGTTCTGTCTGAAGGTAGCGCTCCAGCTCCAAGCAAGTCTATGAGAAAAGAAAGGAGAGATGTTATATTTATCAATTTTATTTAAAAAGGGACCATGTACAATAAGAAGATAAATGTTTCTATTTGAGCCATTGTACTGGAGTTAGCCCTAGTTAGTTAGTTTTAACTCATAGTTTTACCAATATCACTAAAGGAATAATGATGTTCTGAGCTGAACTAATTCTTGATACTAAGTTGGACAATACTGATTTAATATTATATAACAATCTTGATATTTTTTCTGAAGATTTTCTCTTTCACAAGTTGAATATGCAATTAGTAAGCTGATTGGCAAAACAATACATATTTTTATTATTGAGGCTATGGATTTATGGTCAAATACTTGCTTACCAATCTTGACTTTTGCTTGAATCTTATGTTAAGGTTCAAAATTGGGCTCAAAAACACACTTTACTGATCCCAATATGAGAATTGAATCTGTCCAGTTATAAACGTCATTGGATGATATTTTATTTCAAACCTTTTATACATTTATATACTGCAGTAGATCTTAAAACACAAGTAAAAACAGTGAGAAGTCTATTGCTTGGGAACTGACCCTTTATAAACCAAAGCACATTCCACTTTCGCCAGACCGCAATTGATTTAACTGACTTCTAAATGCGTTTGACTATTTTTACTTTGCTTTTGGACAAACCTTGGAACTAAATCTTAGAACCCGCAAGAGGCAAAACATGTTACAAATCGAATCCACGAAGCGAAAGCAATGCAATTTTCTCTCCAAGCGCACATCGAAACAGCTTCTCCAAAAATATCATTTCCAGTCTATTGAGCACCTGGACTACCAATCGCTCCCATTAACCACACTTTGCAAGGCTGCTCGGCTCTTCCCCTTCCCCGGAAACGTTTCGGCAGGTAGGCGAAAAGAGGGGGCGAGGGAATAAAACCGTTGACACTAACTGCGTTTTGTGGAAAGCCCATTTGACACATTGAGCAGTCATTAGTTTGGTGGATATGCCTTTACATGCAGAGTGGAGGGGGGTCGGTGAGGTGCCATCGCATCACCCAGGCGGGGAATGCCGCATCGCTGCCAGCTGCCAAAGGATCGCACGCGCAGATAGGCAGCGAGACGGTGGAGATTACCTGATTACGAGCTGATTGATTACACATGTTGAAGCCGGAGAAGTAGGGCGTCGCAGACACAGGTTCTACGGCTGACAAAACCGCCAACTGATTGCCAAAGATTGTCTAATATTTGAACAAAGGCGTGAGGTTGGTTTGCTGATTTCCAACGCTTTAGCTGAGCATTTATCAACACCTTATCAACACTTACATGATTTGTTCAGAGTGAGGCCGGGGGAAAAAATGTAGTTGTTTGGCCAAATTGATACACAATTCAAGAACATGTTTTTTTGTCTATACCTCTGGCAATATGCACATCTCATACCTAATTTTAAAGCTCTGAAATAGTAAAATAGGTACTATGTTGCACACTTTAAGCCTAGTTGTTTCTACTCAAACTTGTCACTCTGTCCGACAAATACTTACACCATGAACAGAGCTTCTTTTTAGAATAATAATAAGTACATCTTGCCATGAATTAGTTTTTCTGCAAGCTGTTATCTGAATGGAGCACTTTAAACTGGATGCTCCGGCACTTTAATTTTTTCTCAGTATGTGTTTTTAAATCTTCTTTCACAGTGTCAAGTATTTTCCTACTTGTTGTCTATTGGGTTCTATTTTTGCACAAATTTTCCAATTAGGATTTCAACTGTAAATTCAAATAGGAATAAACAATCTTGTTTTTGTTTTTGTTTTATTCAGATTCAATGTTGTTTCCGTTGTTTCTATGCAACAAAGTGTGGCCACATCACCAGTTTGTTTTGCCATTCATGCAAAAATGTCAATCACAAAACTCTCAATTCGTCTGTACATATATCACAGATATCCCTAAAATGCAGTGAGCACAAACCAGTCAGAGCAATATTGTTTAAATAAAAATCACACAAACATACACACAATGCATGCTGAAAAAATTAATACAATATGAGGTACTAATTGCTTTAATCAAGTGTTTTTATCCTAGTTTGAGTTAAATATGTCTTGTTGAGTTAAATATGTCTTAATGCAAGATCTGCCAATTATTTCAAGAACTGTTGCTTTATCTATCAATTTCTTGTATATTTAAAAAAAAAACACAAAAAAACATGATAACCTAGCTTGACTTGTTGGCAAAGCTTGTCAAAATATGCTCAAATTTAGATACATTTGACCAAATACGAGTAATTATGGAATTGGTGGATTATGAAAACATTGAAATATTGTTGTACGCTCTTAATACTCATTGAAACAGTCATATAAGTATTATGCAACTCTAGCTAGGACTTGGCAACTTCAGATAATTTTGCAAAATGGATATGCATATTTCTCTATTGGCAGCTATAGCAAATATCTCTCTTACTAATTGATTCCCACCTTGTAAAAAGCCTTGAGCCAAACCCGCAGACCTCCCCCAAGTCTCCTAAACGCTCCTATCAAACAACATTTTATAGCACCTCTGGAAGCCACATGGCGCCAAGATTGTATGATTTATTCTCCTGTAGTTTTACGGTCTGCTTCATTTGCTCTCTGAATAAAAGTCTCTGAGAAGTCTATTACCTAATGGCCGCAGCTTGGCAAAGGCTGCGTTGAACTTGTGTCTGCAGATGAAGCCATTACGGACACGCGCCAAGGTTGATCCGCGGCCTCGGATGGCTGTGTTTGCGCTTGTAGCCGCTAACCCGCTTTGACAGGCGTAGAGCTCGGCAGGGGAGTCCGCCCGGTCCTCTATACTTCATTTGTGTGCAAATGGGGACCGACAGACCAGACTGCTCGCGCCATTATCGCAAATAAGGCCGTATAGACTCCTCAGCGCACCAGCCACCCCCTCCTCCTTTCTTGTTTGCACCTTCTAAAAATAAATTGACAGTTTTTTTCTAAGCCGTATTGGGAATCGGAAAGGGGGAGCAGGGGTTGTTGCTAAGGCGGTGTAAGCAATAGCTCTCCTCCGGGTCTTCGAGGAACAGGCACAAATGGTTGTACTCTGGGATTGTTTTCCGCCATTTGCATAGAAGTCTAGAATTAAAAAAGCAAGTCATGGTTGTGTGTGTGCGGAAAAAGGGGGAGAACGCAAGAAGACTCGTGCTTTAGCTGTGAATGTTGTAATGATAATAAGTCTAATCGGGAGAGATCGCAAGCCCGAGCTTCACGTTGATGGATGGGAGTAAATAAAAATCAGAGCAAGGACAAAAAGCGATGGCAAAAGGCAGATTTCTATTCAATGGCTATGTTTGATTTAAATATTTAATGTGCACAAGCTGCGTAACTTCTATTTGACATTGTAGATCCAGGCTATCGCACCTCATAAACGTACGGTTATTTAACATTTCTTGAAAGACATGTTCCAAAAGCAAAGTGAAGCAGCTTGACACCAGTGCACAACGTGTGATCATATTTGTGTGAACCTCCTTCACAATAAAACATGTTTTGTTAGTTGCATATATGTAAGGTCTTTTGGAACATTCTAATCAAGTCATGAAAGCAAATATCAGTATGGAGGCAGAATGTAGTTTTCCATGTAGAATTACAGTGTAGAATGATTAGGTTCGTAGGCAAGTCCAAACAATGGCCCACGAGCCTTATGCGGACCTCGGATCATTTTGTTAGTGGTCCTCTGCATTACATACAGTACATACATACATACATACATATAAAGCATACTTCACAGTACTTCTTTACTGCATATATAAAACACGGTAGCTTATTTGACTTATTCTAACTTATCAGCTTGCTATCTACTAGATGCATACACTTGTGGGGGTATTTACAATTTCAACATTTAATCATTATATTTCCCCATTTTGTAATCAAAACACAGGCTTGAGTAGTTTTGTGCGTTGAGTTCAAAAGTGTGGGCCAGTGATCACTTATGTGGTTCCATATTGCACTTTCCTTCTGACATTATTAAAGTTATTATTGCACAGATGAGTATAATACATTTCTTGGTTTTCAGAGTTTAACCTGTGCATGTGCTATTATCGAGCAAAAAACATAGACTAACTTTAAATAAATCTGGCTAAAACATCATGCACTGGTTCTCACTGTTAAGAGTCACTTTTAAACGATACCGAAATCTCAATATCTCTTTGTCCGTCGCGAAGTTGGAACCAAATAATGTTCAAGAGTTCACCCAAACATCTCTCTTCGCCAGGGGCTATGTTACCTCTGCGGGTGCCAGACGTGACACCTGCTTTTCATTCGCACTCCTCTTTCCCGTCACTTTCGCACTTTTCATTCCCAAGGTGACGGCTCATTACGGCCCTTACACAAGAGGGAAGACTTTTTATTCGGGGGGAGGGGGAATTGCTGAGCTACTGCAAACCCAGGTGTGTGCTTTGCCGAGATAGACGAACGGAGCGGAAAAGCGGATAAGTCGGTGAGGTGGGGGTGAGCTGTAGGAATGGCCGGGCGATCTCCGACTTTATTTTCACAGCGGGGGACGATCCCTTTCGGCAGGGGGGACTGTGACATTTCGCCGGAACGGGATTGTGTCAGCGGGGCGGGAGTGGAAAAAGGTTGGCGCGCTGTAAATGTTAGGTTAGGACCTGCGAGGAAGGAGTGACAGGGGAAAAGGATTGGCGAGAGCTGTACGCGCTCAAGACATTTTGACACAGATAAGCTGATAGCGGTGAGAAGAAACCGCCGTGTGAATGGTGGAAATTGTCAGGTCTCAAAAAGGTTCAATTGTTTATGTAATGCAAGGGACCCCTGTCAAAATGAAAATTGCTGAATATTGCTTGAGTCTCTATGGGTTCTCTGATTTGGTCCAAAATTGGCTTGTTCAACTCCAATTACAGAGCATTAGACTCCCATCCGTCTCAAAGCACAGCACGACCGCAGAAGTCTCATAGAACGGGGGTTAAGACTTTTCAGATCAGACAGGCATGAACTTGCAACCCCCACCAAAATAACATAAAATATACAATGTAGCCCTTTCGTGCCTGTGAAGCACTTTGGGCAGCTGGCGGTGTTGTAAATGTCCCATACAAATAAAGTTGACATTGACAGGGGTATTTGAAGCATAATGTGTATTAAGCAAATGAGCTGAATATATTGTGCTATTTTATCTAATATCACATGATAATTGATAGTTTAGGAAGGTTCATTTTTTCTCCGTAGTAGAAATTTAAATAAAGTTTGTAGCAAAATTATAGAAATCTAGAAATCCCCAGCTATAGTGTCCCTTGACCCCCACTTTGGGAACCATTGTTATAGAGTATGAAACACAGATAAACGGATAGCGGTGAGAAAAAAACCGCTGTGTGAATGGTGGAAATTGTCAGGTCTCAAAAGTTGCAATTCTTTATGTAATGCAAGGGTCAAAGTGCAAATTGCTGAATATTGCTTGAGTCTTTATGGGATCTGTTTTGGTCCAAAATTGGCTTGTTTCAACTCATTAGACTCCCATTCGTCTCAAAGCACAACACGACCACAGAAGTCTCATAGAGCAGGGGCTACAAGACTTAAGATAGACATAAACTCGCTTCCCCCGGCAAAATAATATACAATTTACAATTTAGTATAAAAACGTGCTGATGTATAAAAAATAAATGTCTGTAACAAAACTTTAGAACAAATCTAATGTAGAAATCTCCTACAATATCCTGGAAATGACCTCCCCAGGTCCCTAGACCCCACTTTAGAAATCACTGTTGTGGAGGATAAATAGTTAGTTATAGTTGATGCAGACCATAGACTGTATATATAAGAATACTGCTAATCCCCTACCTCAATGAAGCCCAATAGGGAAGTGCTCAAGGACGAAGTTTTGATCCAACTCGCTCTGGCTCCTTTTGACTTTCATTGAAATAAGTAAGGTCCTCTAGCTCAGGAACTGGATGAGTCACATTCACCATTTTGGGATTTAAACATTTATGGAAAAAACGCTCTCTTCGATACTGGTGCTTATATTGCGATATTGTGTTTGTAAATACACATATGCGCCCTAACAACTGATCAATCAGGAGCCTTCTGTCTTTGAATTCTGCTTTAGCTAGCGAGCAGGGCGAGTGGGAACTTGGCCGTCGCTACCAATACAATTTGCATACATTTGGTTCCACATTCCCACTTAAATAGCCTGTTTGAGGTTTCTCTTATCGGTTCCTTCCGCATCACAGGTGGCATCGGCACTCGGCCAGTCGGTCTGTGATGTCGCACAGTGGTCATTCTGGTCCCTGCACTGACTTCCTGTGGCTCAGAGAATAGACTTTAAAGCTGCTCTGCTTGTGTACAAGTCTCTACATGGCCTAGCACCTAAGTACATTTGTGACATGTTGGTGCCATATGAACCAACTCTGACTATGAGGAGCACAGGGACTAGCCTCCTGCTGGGATTCTGAGGAGCACAGGGACTGGCCTCCTGCTGGGAATAAGAACTATAGCGACTGGCTTCCTGCTGGGACTAAGGACTATAGTGACTGGTCTCCTACTGGGACTCTGAGGAGCACAGGGACTAACCTCCTGCTGGTACTAAGGACTATAGTGACTGGCCTTCTGCTGGGACTCTGAGAAACACAGGGACTGTTCTCAGAGTCAAGACTGAACATGAAGAGGTATGAGATTTCATAACACTTTGAAGCAACTTTTGTTAAAGTTAAACTCATCATTCTATCAATGTGCAGAAGCCAGTACTTTTCCCTTGTTTTGTCTCTCTGAAGGCCAAGCTACATGCACACCGTGGCAGCTGCTGATTGGAGGTCTCCATGCCTCCGCTCTGTATAATACACTTGCATTCTCTTGTATCTGTGATCGTGTGCTTTGTTCGTGCTGTCTCTACCATCGACAATAAAGCATGTCTTCTGTCTGAATTTAAGACGCGATCCCAGACTATGTCATCTTCTTCAGGTGGTGGAAGGATGTGGGCCTTGTCTGTAACATCTAGAGAACAGAAGACTTTTTTTTTTACACGAAAAGTGTTTGTTTTTTTAAGCCAAAACTGAGAAACCTCAAGAGAATGCATCTGGATCAGCACAGCCCCTGATTCCATACAGGCTGTGAGCTGCTGAGACATGGACAATACCAGCGTCCTCTTTTGCATGGACATCATTTGGAACCATTGGATTTCTGAATTTGGACATAATTTGGACTGAATTGGATTGCTGAATCTGGACACTGAAGCTGAAACGTGTGATTGAAAGACACGTCACAGAAGAATTCATGGCTCGACACGAATACAGCCTGAAGAAATCAAAACAGAGAAGTGGGAGAGACTGTTTTCAAAGCAATATCTGGAACCATCGACTGATGAAGTTTGGTATTTTACTGAAGATTGTTGACAAGTTTTATGAAAGATCTGAACATGTTTTATGAGTTTTTGAAGTATTCCGAGTTCTGAGTTTTTTGAAGTACCGAGTGAAGTACCGAGTTTAAGTATTGAGTTATGATGTTATGTTGCTGTTTATTGATCCTGATGGTCACACGAGAATGTGTGCCCAGAGGGGGGAATGTGAGATTTCATAACACTTTTAAACAACTTTTGTTAAAGTTAAACTCATCATTCTATCAATGTGCAGAAGCCAGTACTTTTCCCTTGTTGTGTCTATCTGAAGGCCAAGCTACAAGCACACCGTGGAAGCTGCTGATTGGAGGTCTCCATGCCTCCGCTCTGTATAATACACTTGCATTCTCTTGTATCTGTGCTCGTGTGCTTTGTTCGTGCTGTCTCTACCATCGACAATAAAACATGTCTTCTGTCTGAATGAAAGACGCGATCCCAGACTATGTCATCTTCTTCAGGTGGTGGAAGGATGCGGGCCTTGTCTGTAACATCTAGTGAACAGAAGACTTTTTTTTTTTTTACACAAAAAGTGTTTTTTTTTTCAAGCCAAAACTGAGAAACCTCAAGAGAATGCATCTGGATCAGCACTTGGACAATCTGCACAGCCCCTGATTCCAGTCAGGCTGTGAGCTGCTGAGACATGGACAATACCACCGTCCTCTTTTGCATGGACATGATTTGGAACAATTGGATATCTAAATTTGGACATAATTTGGACTGAATTGAATTGCTGAATCTGGACACTGAAGCTGAAACGTGTGATTGAAAGACACGTCACAGAAGAATTCATGGCTCGACACAAATGCAGCCTGAAGAAACCAACACGGAGAAGTGGGAGAGACTGTTTTCAAAGCAATATCTGGAACCACCATCGACTGATGAAGTTTGGTATTTTACTGAAGATTGTTGACAAGTTTTATGAAAGATCTGAAAATGTTTTATGAGTTTTCTGAGTTTTTGAAGTATTCCGAGTTTGAGTTTTTGAAGTATTGAGTTATGATGTTATGTTGCTGTTTATCGATCCTGATGGTCACACGTGAATGTATGACCAGAGGGGGGAATATGAGATTTCATAACACTTTGAAGCAACTTTTGTTAAAGTTAAACTCATCATTCTATCAATGTGCAGAAGCCAGCACTTTTCCCTTGTTTTGTCTCTCTGAAGGCCAAGCTACATGCACACCGTGGCAGCTGCTGATTGGAGGTCTCCATGCCTCCGCTCTGTATAATACACTTGCATTCTCTTGTATCTGTGATCGTGTGCTTTGATCGTGCTGTCTCTACCATTGACAATAAAACATGTCTTCTGTCTGAATTAAAGACGCGATCCCAGACTATGCCATCTTCTTCAGAGGCAGCGTTTCAGATTTATGCAGCAAAATGTTTTACTTATGCCGCTACAAGAGCAGTCTTCCTGAAATTGTGAGACAGGCTTCTACTCTGACAATGTTCAAATCCAGGCTCAAAACTGCTCTGTTTAGCTGTGCATATAACTACACTAAAGGATTGTATGTTTTTTTCTTTTTTTTTTATGGGCTGTAATTATTCATGATTTCCATGTAACCTTTCTTGTTTTGTTCAGCACTTTGAGTTGCCTTGTTTATGAACTGTGCTATACAGATAAACTCGCCTCGCCACTTTATGAACTGCTTCAATAAGACTGCTAATAAGAGTGTCTTTTCTCATCTGCTCCGCCATCACTCCGTCTCCCTCCCTCCCTCCCTCCCTCAGGTGGTGACAGTTGCATTGTTCGCTGTAAGGTCAGGCACTCGTTCACTTCCAGCCACAGAAGTTGCCGATTCCCCTCAGAGTGATTGCACTTTCCGACCGTGCAACCGTGCGTGGCGTCTCTCTTTTCAAACACCTACACAGGCCCCGGCAAAAGCAAGCGTCTCTCTCCCGGTTCTAACTCTATGTGTGGGCACGCCAGCGAGAATTATGCTTTCGGAGAGATGTGG